AATTAATTTATTTATTTTTATTTTTTTTGCTTCCAAAGTGGCGATCACCTCTCCGTGAATGTCTACAATGGCACAGCTTGGTATTGATGAAAATTATTCAGCACAAATATGATTCGCTTGATCATCTAAAGTCTTGCTTGCATTATGGGCCTCAATCTAGAACTAGTCCTATAGCCAAGAAGCCAACTCTTTTATACTTCCCAATAGGGCCGTTAAAAAGTCTCATTGTTCGCAAATAACTCCTGTTCAGCTAGTTAAGAAGTTCGTGCTAAATTCGTTTGCTAAGTTAACGAGCCGAACATGAGCACCATTTTTGTGCTAGGCTCTTTTTGGCTCGAAATAATACTCATCAAATATATATATATATATATTTTGATGAATAGTATTTTTTAAAAAAATTAATTGACTACAACGCTATAAAGATTTATAATAAATCAAAATTATTAATTAAATAATAAAATAAAAATATTATAAATTATATTTAAATGTTGTTTTAATTTAAACAATAAGATTTAAATCTTGCCCCAAGTCTTAACATTCTACGACTGTGTGATTGGGGTTGCGAAAATGACTTTTTATTCACGAACAGCTCGCGTTCGGCTCGCAAAGTAAACAAACGAAACACAAACACACTTTTTGTGTTTGAAATATAAACGAGCCGAACATTAACAATAATATTTTTTAACGAACTGAACATGAGCAGAGGCTGGGCTTGCTCGTGTTCGACTCGTTGCATCCCTACTTCCCAATATATGGTGCTCCAACAAAAGCAACAACCACTCCTTAATTGTTTTCATAAAAAACTTGTTCCAAGCATGATTGGCTTGACAAAAAAAAATCTCGGCTCTTAAATGCAAAATTATTGGACATCTCAATCTCAAATTTGATGGGCATCAATGACAAAACTTTAACTTTAAACCAATTTTATTATAATGAGGTTGTAACATAAGTCTAATCAACCAAAAATGATGTGCCACACAAAAAATAACCGGACAAGTGGAAGAGATTATACCGCACAAGTTTTAATATTTGTGTGGTTCGACGTGTACATCCGTGCAAACAGAGAGTGGATTTGAACCAATAACAAAACATAAAAGAAAAAAAAATGAACTACAAATTAAGTGAACACTTACAACCCTTCTCAAAACTAATATCTCAATTACTGTTATTTTACATGGAATCTTTTCTACCCATGCCAAAGCGAGAATCATCATTCATATTTCCTAGAACATCCGAAGGAAGGCAGACCGAGACAACCCTTCTTGCTATCCTCGATGATTTCTAATTCTTCGAAGAATTCTCGTCACAACAATTATTTGGGGACAATAATAAAAATATTTCGACTTATGCATACAATCAAGAAACATAAGATAAAAATTCTAAAAGTCCCTATATGTTGAATTCTTTTTAGACATAGGGTTTCGTATTTTTGTGAGCTCATACAACTTGGTAAAGATCTTGTATCACGTAGAGAAAATGAGAGAGAGACAAATACAAAGAGAGAGAAGGAAGAGGAAGAAGATGAAGAAGAGATCGATGCAAGTCTCGAGCGAAAATCCCAGAGAATGTATTGAGTTTTTATCTCTGGTAAGTAGCAGAAGTTTGGTTTGTCAGATGTGCTTTGAGTTACAAGATTTTTGTTGGCATCAATTTTTGATGTCATGCGTGTAGGATGTCCACTCGAATGATTCGAGACTATTTACTGTTCAGCCATAGCGTCTTGTAGCTCAAGATATCCATTTGGACCTCCTAGTACGTGTTCGGGGCATACAAACAGGGTTTACGATGATTCATCATTGCCCGGAAGAGTCTGCCGTTTGGTGGTGTTAATTATGATATGGTATATGTTCGATGCCCGTTCTGGTGTTTAGAGACCATACTCCACTTGTCTGGAGTCTCTCTAGGTAAAATGAATCCATCCAAGTTTCACAGACTTGTGAAGTAGCTCGTGTTGGATTCGTTCGTTAAACAAGAGAACCAAACACAAATAATTTTTTGGAGCTCAATTTTTAACGAGCCAAATACTAACAAAAGTTTGCTTGTTCGTGATTGACTCGATTTGAATCTAATTAATTAAATAACAAATAAATATTATAAGTTAATTTTTCTATATTAAACATTTATGTTGTGTTTATAAAGATATTAAATTTTATTATATTTAAAATAATTTTAGCTAGGTTTATAAATAAAAAATAATTTTTATACATTTTATATGTAAATACATATGAAGTAGGTGCGAATGGCATAAAATAAAGGCATAATTTTTGGCTGTGGGTGACAATATTTTAGGTGATATTTGAGAATTACATAATAATTGCGTGCAATGTATGTAAAATCTCAGAAAAAAAAAATACTATAAAATGCTGCAATTAGTCCCACATCTAAAACATTGAAATAAAATCTTAAGCTATTTTCCTTAAGAAGTAAAGAAGAAAACACATACATTCTCAAAATCAGTGTATTGCTAGCCCCGTAACACGTAGCCATGCAAATTTAGTTTAATTTTATTCTCTTAAGAGAGCTTTAAAATAACAATGAATTTAAAAATTTAATTATTAAATTTTAATAAATTATTACTTTGATTAGAAGAAGAGCTTAAACTTGAGCAAATAAATTAGAATCGAGCCGAGCACGACATATTTCAACGAGCTATTTTGAACCCAAGTTAAATGTGAAAAAATACAATGACCTGAATACAAGCAAACCTTTTGCTAGTTTATACCTGTAGAAGCAACATAACCTAGAATGTCAATAGAAGTCAGAAAACTAGCTAGGATGGCATACTACATCTCAAAATGACAAATTATTACCTTGTAACAGAATATAGTTAGAGTTGTACCATTCAGTTCTTGAAATTTTGCATCTTGAGATTTTTTCTTGAAGAAAAGCTTAGTCATTACAAAGAAATTTTACCTATAAATAAAAGACAAGCCTCTCTAAGCAAGGGGAGAACTTTCCTAGTTACCATTTGTTCTTTTGAAGTTTTGGGATCACTCAAACTATCCGTAGCACATAGTTTCGAAGCTATTTTTGAAACCCTAAAAAAAAGAGCAGTTGAAGAAATAAGAGCAGTCGGAACCCTAAGTGCTTGATGGGTTACCTATATTCCAACTAAGGGAACCGTGGAGGGAGCGGATCGAGATGACCACAGTACCTGAACTGTGGTTAGAAGTGTCAAGTGAACCGGGTGAGTCCTTAACAGTTTTATGTAAACTTTAAGGAAGATTGACACTTACCACTCAATTTTTATGTGTTTATACATCTAACACATAAATTTCAATTTTACATATATGTCATTGTTTGATCCTAATTTGTCATTTGTGAATCACGACCGCTCGAGAGTTAGAGCCAGATGAAGGAGAGAAGAAGGAGAGACAAAAGCGTTAGCCTGAAATTTACTCTTGCAAGAGGTGCGAGAGAGGTCGCTTTATTTGTATTTTTTGCTCCCTATTTATAGGGTTGAATTTTGTACAATTACGGAAATGAGGGAACAACTAGGACAACCGTTTTTAATATGATTAAAAGACTAATGATTTGTATGGATTTTATGTCATATTTGCATTACAATGTGAATTTAAATTATGACGGTGATCGGCTGACCTACTGGCTTGACGTTAGTCGGCTGAGACGACCGACCGAGTGGCGATTGTGCCCTCTGACGTATGTTTCGGTTGGTCGAGGTGCTCGGTCACGTAGCAATCTTGTTTGTCGTGAATCAGTCGGTCCGCTGCAGTTGGGCGCTCCTACGCGCGTCCTGATCGGTCGGGACCACAAGCGTGGTCCGCTGTTAGAGTCTCTCGCCACGAGAGACTGTTCGAATTTTTCTTGCCCGAACGATGGTAGGGTGGTAGGACGCTCTGTTTGCCTAACCTCCATTTTAGCCGTCTAATGGCTTTGAGATTCGTATCGATATTTTTGATGTATACAGTCAACTTATATATATATGAGAACTTCTATCTCACTTTTAAACTCGGAGTAATTGGGTATTTGATGTGATATAAGAAATTTAGGTGGCATAAATATAAATGAATTCAATGTCAAGGAGTTCTTTTATTGCTTTTAGTAGATAATTGATTAAGATTTAAGAACTTAAATAAAGATGTCTACAAGATAATATATGCTTATTTTTTGTATGTCAATAATTAAATATTTATTTATGAACACTTTAATATTCTTTTGAGATTATTTATTTTTTTTTTCAATTTTTTATATTTTGATTAAAATTAAAACATATTTAATTCACACCGTTATTTCTATACAATTTTTTTTTATACATATTGATTATGTTTAAACAGAATTTGATTTATTTAAAAAAATTAAAAATAAAATATATTAAAATTATATCAAATTAAAATGACAGAAAAGTGATCTCAAACAAATACTTAATTTTTATTTTTTAAGGTGTCATTTTCTTAAAAAATATTTTCATTTCACCAATTAAAAAAATTAATCTTCATATTATTTTTAGTTATTTATTTATTTAGTTAATATATATTTTTTAAAAAAGTTTATTATAACAACATTATATAAAGTGACGCCAAAGTGTG